ATTTCAATCAACGCTTTGGTGCCTTCAATGGGTTTATAGCCGCCCAGAAAACCCCCCATCAGTTTCTGTCCCGTTAGCAAAAGCCATGGATTTATGGTTAAGTTTTCTCCTAAAATAGATAACAATTCAATGCATGAACGGCTAATACATATGTATGTAATATGTTAGTGATAGCACTCATACCATGTGGTGATAGTCCTATGGATACGCAAACTCCCCAACGATTAAGCGATTCAAAGGCCGATTGCATTGCCTTTACGTTTCCGATGCATTCAAATGTATAGTCGAGCCCTCCATCAGCTTTGAACAGCTCTGCGATAGTGTTATACCCATCGGGCAAACGGTTTGGATTCACGAATTCATTGCATCCAAACTCCTTCGCCATCGCGAACTTGTCTTCATTGATATCGACGCCTATAATCCTTTTGGCGCCGTTGTGTTTAGCACCCATAGCAGTCGCTAATCCCACGGCACCCAATCCCCACACGGCTACACTCGACCCACTTTCCACTTTCGCCAAATTGACGGCATTCCCAAAGCCGGTTGCAATACAACAACCAATTAAACAGATTTTCTCCAAATCGGCTCTTTTGTCGGCCACAACCACCGACTCCACAGACATAACGGTGTACTCACTAAACGTCGCACAGCCTATGGAGTTGTAAATAGGTTTTCCATCCATTGTCCAGAATCTGGTTGTGCCGTCAGGCATGACATTAAGAGTGCCATTATTTCCTGTAAATACCATTGGATTAGCAAAAATAAGCATTTATTTTAATGATTAATTGTAATCTTAATATGTACCTGTCTCACATAAGTTAGTTCTATTGCTTTGACACAATTCGCAAGTCTGACAGTTAGGTAACCACAGAGGGATGACATGATCTCCGATAGAAACAGAGGTGACATTCTGTCCGACACTCTCGACAATACCGGAGCCCTCGTGTCCCAGAATTAATGGGAATATAAAATCTTTAGAGATGTTTGACTCGATTATATGAAGATCTGAACGACATATACCACTGCTTATAATCTTAATCCGGATTTCATTAAATTTTGGCGGATCGACGTATATATCCTCGACCACAAGTGGCTGATGGAGACCATAGGCTACTGCTGCCCGACATTGGATTCGCTCACCGATTGTAGACATGAAATAATTTGTGAGATAATGAGTGAATTGACAAAATTAATTTAAATGGATTGCGAATTCTATATAAATAGGCATTTATTGGCCTTCAATGCATTATTTCCCAATTTATATATAGTTTTCAGTACCGTATAAATTAAACAAAATATTAATTTAAATAACATAAAAAACAAAAATAAATATTAATTGATGAAAGTTTACAAATAAATTCATTTATTGGAAGCAACAGATTAGTAATGTTTAGATAAGAAGACATAAAATGTGTTTAAATTATGATTAGACATCAAATGAGTGATTGATATATTAATATAGAAGATGTCCTTCAAATGATAGCGCCGACACTTTTTCTCTTATCTCAAACTTCGTCCGTATTTTTGTGTAAATTTAAAACATTATTCTTATGAATTGTCTTTAAAAATCTCATTTTCTGAACCAATTTTGACAATACAAGAACCAGAATCACCAGAATATCAATATAATATTCATTTCAAAAATAAATTCAAATACAGAATCAAAGTATTAAAATATTTTTGTTGTTTCCATATCAGGGATCCAATGTCTGTCTCACCACTAATGTTAATTGTATACAATTGAAAATATATTTATTTCTTATACAGTAATTCAATTTTATTGTATTTTATTTATCAAACACAATGACTGTACGAATAGCCTTTCCATTCCTCATGAGATCAAAGCCCTGATTAATGTCATCTAATTTAATTTTATTAGTGATAAACAAATCTAAATTCAAGTTTCCGTTCATATATTTATTCACTAAATACTCGATGCCTTCCCTCGGTTTATATCCGCCGAAGAAACTGCCCGTCAGTTTCTGACCGCTTAGCAAAAGCCATGGATTGATGGGAACATCCATTCCTTCACATTTGATATTCAAATTCATAATTTACTTATAAATTAATACAAAAA